TGTCAGTCAAATTTCGTGTACGAAATGTACTCGAATGGTTTCGAAAATCGCACTCTAGTCTGTACAAGTCTGGAAAAATCTGGATGAAAACTGGAAAACTATGGAAAGCTCTGAATAAGTCTGGATAATGTCTGCAAAGTCGCACCGGTCACACCATAATTTTTTGGTGTGGCTGCGGTGTGATTGTGTCTTTATGTCAACAATGTCAACCATTCCTCCCATAATCTTCATAATCCCACCAAATATAAACAAAACACAAATAAGAATTAAAGTTTTTTCTTCAAATCAAAAAAAATGAAGAACAAAATAATACATCGAACTAAAAACTGAAAAATGTAATAAACAATAAGTAGATGCGTTTTTTTTTGCTCTTATAATAAAATGTGTTAAGTTATAATGTCTTCATTTTTTACAGTTATCAATTTTTACAGTTGGCGCTAAAGTTTTGTGAAAAAAGCGTGGAGTGCTTTGTTCCACATTTCTCGTACATTGATCACCCCACGATTTTTTCACAATAATTCTAATATTTTTTGTTTGGTAAGTCTGGGAGGTGTCGTCAGCGAAGACCCGTTCGGCCAACGAACGAACTTAAGGTAGAGGGATATACTTGAAAACTGCTTTTAAAATAATTTGATTATATCAACAGTTGTTGTGTAGTTGTTTATACAACAGTAATAAGCCACTTGCTTTTAGTCCAAAGGAGAGTTACTTACCAACATACAAACAAACAACCAAACAAACATATATACAGGTGAAGCTAATAAAAGCGTGTTAATTCCAAGCCTTTTCCAGACGTTTCCAGAGATTTGCAGACTTTTCCAGACATTATCCAGGCTTATCCAGAGCTATCCAGAGTTTTCCAGACTTCATCCAGACCTATCCAGACTTCATCCAGACCTATCCAGACTTCATTCAGACCTATCCAGACTTGTTCAGATTGATCCGGATTCTAGAAAATGATCCCCAGGTCTTTTGGAACCTTTTCCAGAATTTTTCCGACGCTTTCAAGAATTTTCCAGACATTTCTAGAGATTTCCAGACTTTTCCAGACAATATCCAGACTTTTTACGTATCCAGAGTTTTACAGACTTTATCCAGATTTATCCAACCCTTATCCAGACTTGTACAGACTGCTCCGAATTCTAGAATATGATCCCCAGGTCTTTTAGGACCTTTTTCAGAATTTTTCCGACCCTCTCAAGAAGCTTCCAGGCCTTTTCCAGACGTTTGCAGACTTTTCCAGACATTATCCAGACTTATCCAGAGTTTTCCAGGCTTCATAGATTTATCCAGACTTGTTCAGACTGATCCGGATTCTAGAAAATGATCCCCAGGTCTATTGGGACCTTTTCCAGAATTTTTCTGACCCTTTCCAGACATTTCCAAGTCTTTTCCAGACGTTTCCAGAGATTTCCAGACTTTTATAGACAATATCCAGACTTATCTAGAGTTTTACAGACTGAATCCACATGTATCCATCCCTTATCCAGACTTGTACAGACTGCTCCGAATTCTAGAATATGATCCCCATGTCTTTTGGGACCTTTTCCAGAATTCTTTCAACTCTTTCAAGAAGCTTCCAGGCCTTCTCCAGACGTTTCCAGACTTTCCCAGACATTATCCAGACTTATCCAGAGTTTTCCAGGCTTCATCCAGATTTATCCAGACTTGTTCAGACTGATCCTGATTCTAGAAAATGATCCCCAGGTTTATTGGGACCTTTTCCAGAATTTTTCCGACCCTTTCCAGAAATTTCCAAGTCTTTTCCAGACGTTTCCAGAGAATTCCAGACTTTTACAGACAATATCCAGACTTATCCAGAGTTTTACAGACTTTATCCAGATTTATCCAGACCTCATCCAGACTTGTACAGACTGACCCGGATTCTGGAAAATGATCCCCAGGTCTTTTGGGACCTTTGGCAGAATTTTTCCAACCCTTTCCAGAAATTTCCAGGCTCTTTCCAGACGTTTCCAGAGATTTCCAGACTTTTCCAGACATTTTCCAGACTTTTCCAGACTTTTTCAGACTCTATCCAGATTTATCCAGACTTGTGCAGACTGCTCCAGACCTTATCCAGTCCTTTCCTGACCTCTCTGGATTTCTTCCAAACACTTTCCCGACTTGTTCCAGCTCACTTGGCTTGTTCCAGGTTCTTGTTCATAGACTTCCCAAGAGTCCAAAAGTTCCAGCTTGATGGCGTGATTTACAGTGACTGAACAGATGCGAAATGCTACAGTAAACTGTAAACTTTATAAAAGATAGTGCGCCATCTCGTGGAATTGTGTGGTACTACGCCTCTTGCGGGCGATTACGTCACGCGCTCCTTTACAGTGAAATTCAAATTAGGAATTTTAATAATTTTTTTTTAAAGTTAGTGATAACTTTTGAACAAAATATAAAAACACGGGTTTTCTAAAAATTGATGTAGATCAATATTACGCAATAAAAAAAAATGCTTAAACACCGTATTGATAATAAAAAAGTTTCCCATGTGCTGCGAACTTAAGTGGACACACTGTATATCATAAGCGGATTGTTATGTGTTAGCAAATATCGTCACAGTAGAAGATAGTTTTATTGAGTGTTCACCAGAAAACGAATATAGATTAAAAACTCGTAAATTTTGATTTTTCGCGTGTAACGTTTGTTTAATTCTCAATTGATGCATTTAAATGGATACTTTGAAGTCAATATACCTCAGTCTTTTTTTTAACATAAATAAACTCTAGTTCCATACTATGCGATGCCAATGGCGATATCTGATATGCGAAGATTAATTTATTGTGAATAGGATCATGGACGGAAATGAGCCTCCGGCCCTTCTGAACTTTTGAACGTGTCGAGTTTAATCTTAACGGTTTGCTGAAATATTAAAAGTATTTCATGGTGATATAAGAAATTTAGTCGAAAAAATATGAAGATAATTTATCAAAAGACAAATTTAAATCTGAAGAAATCTGGAATAAGTTCACTACAATCCACTACAAACGACGGAAAGCAAAATAAAATATATATTTTTTTTCCGCAGCAGCTCAAAAATCTGGAAAAGCAAAAAAGGTTTAGGGACTTTTTGAAACATGAACAATCGAAAAAGTAGTAGTCCAACATGAAAAAACAAAATAAAGACACAACATGAGAAAACATTTTTGTATTAATTTAAGGCGGAAGATTCACACATGTGTTGTTCGCTGCCGTTTTAATGAGTGGGGGTGGATTTTTTTTTTTTGTGGAAAGCATAGGTATATATTTTTATGTTCAAAAACCTCTCACAACATTTTTCTGATGTCAGACTTTTATTTCAATTGTAGGGCATTTATATCCTTGACAGTTCCAGGTGCCAGATCCTGTCAACAACGCGTTGAAATATCAATAATAATAATAATTATAATTATTATTGTAAACGTCATCATAAACCGTGATGACCGAATGCTAAATTACAAATCTGAGCTTAGTTTATGCCGCCAAATAGGATTACCGCAAAGGTTATGTAAATACTAGGGCAATCACGCAAAATCAACATTCGGTAGTAGATTCTAAATTGATGTAAGTGAAACAACATGTTCAGGTGGTAGCTCATGTATCGATATAGCAAATAGTGATTCATAAAGATATTATGTTAGAAGGCATAAATCAAGCAAAGGACGATAATGCCAAGTTACTAGGAGGGTACTTAATTGCAATATACTTTTTTTCAATGAGCAAGTATGCCGATAGTTTTTTTCGTACATTTTGTGCTCTATAAGATCCCGAATACAGAGAACATAAAATGTAAAGAATATAAAGAGAACAGTTAATAAGTCTAGAGTATAGAAATTGGAACGTTCCTTTTTGGGGATGCAGTTCCAGGCAACTGTGCGTCTTCCACTTTGAACAGTATACACTATCGGCTTTCGATAAGGCCAAAGTAAGGCTGTCGCCGCGGATTTATGATATAATGTAACTGATAGTGAGATACAGAACTGCATAAGTATGCGTAGAAATATACCGAGCTAAATAAACGATATTGTTTGAAAAATATTTATGCTGCAACAGATCATAGATTTAGACCCAGGTTTGATGATTTGTTTATTAAAAAATGTATTACTGTCTTCTAAATTTGAACGTTTTTAAATATTGAGTATGATCTGGAACCGGTTTTCCGTTAAGTGTGTATTATTACAAAAAGAGGGGTGAAGAATGGTAGTAACATAATGTCCTATTTAGTTATCCTGTATTGTGCCAAAATTGCCTTTTACTATTTCACACTTATTTTCAGTTTTCCATTCAAAATTCCTATGGAAATTTAATTTTTCCCTGATTTTATTAGGCTTTGTTTACATTTTTCCTTTATAAAAATTCAACAATAATTCCAGTAGTTATGCAGATCCTGAAAATTTTCTAATCTTTAATATTTAAATTATATGACCGCATTTATGTAGGTAACCATACGTATATTACTGAATCAACATGAGCAGTCTAAACTATACTCATTTGTAATGACGCATTTTAAAAAATAAACACACATTGCATAGAGAGAATGTCAATTTGACAATTAATATTTATAATAATTTTGGCTTAAAAAATATCGAATTCGTAGACTAGATGCTTAGAAAATAAATACAAAATTTGAATTTTTGAGGGTAAAATAAAAATGTTAAATAGATATGACAAATAAACAACAGCCATATTCAACATCTTCTTTTAACTTTAAAAGCGACTTTGAAAACTGTCTACAAATTTTTAAAAGTGACAAGTTTCTAAATTCTTTTTAAAGTTAAAAAAAGAGGATGTTGAATACGGCTGTTAATTATAATTTATAAATTTTGATCAGAAAATAGAAATTTTAAGTTCCTAGATGTGCTCCCAAACTCTTTGATTACATTTTGTATGTAGACCATCTAAACGGTTGGCACACATTACCGATCTTATCCAGGTTTTTACTCGGCGGAGTGTGCTGAAAGACCTTTCCACAGTACATGTTGTAGGTGGTAAGCATATAGCTATTTCAATCGCCTTACCAACGGCTGGATAAAATTGACAGTGCTCCAACAATTCAATCATAGCAGTATCTTCTGTAATATTCGTTTCGTTTTGGTTTGTCCAATAATAAAACCATGAATAGGCCTGCTCTTTAAAATTATCAATTTCGTAATAATTGTTTATTTCTTCCACAAATTTATTAAATTCATCAGTTTTCAATTTCCTCAGGAGGAACGGATGTAATTGGTACAGCCCAAAAGCATAGGTATTTTCCTCAGAAAATCTGATAGATAAAGATGTAATTAGAGAATCTAAATACGGAATAAACAAAGATCTTCTGTAGTATTCTTCTATCGATCCTTGATAATTGGCTCTATGAATCTGTCGCCCTGCAATTCTTGGAATTTTAAACTCGATGTCGAAGATTTCGCCAATCGTTTTCGCACATTCATAGATTGTGTGAAATGTTTCATCAACTTTTTCATCACTTCTATGAGTTTGGAACATCTGCACTAAATTACTGATATGCTTTTTAACTCCTAGTATATCAATTGATTTGCCTTGTAGAATATTTACTACTGGCTCCAATAAACTTGAATATTTTGCTATTATTTGAAGGCAAATTAAAAACGAAACATCAGAACTAGCCAAATTAAGTTGATGGGCTTTAGTTCTTGAAGTTCTATTAAAAGTTATATCAGCCGTCATTTCTTCAAGACTTTTTTTGATTGGAACAAAATTTTCTGAAAAAATTCTAATACTCTTATACTTTTCAGACCATCGCGTCTCTGACAGCAATGGAAGATTAGGAGCTTGTTGCCTTCTTAAGGTGCTTTCCCGGAAAAACCTTATAACTTCCTTTATGGTTCCTACGCAATTTTTTACTTCCAAAACAGAGTTCAAGTCGTTTACTACCAGAGTTAGCCTGTGAGATGCGCAGTGGAAAAATAAAGCTTTTGGGTACTTGTCTCTAATCAATTTCTGTACTCCTGCTTCGTGACCGGCCATTGTGGCGCAGCCATCGAAACCAAGACCTAACAATTTTGTCATATTTAATTTTGACCTCTCGCAAAAAGAGAGTATTTCGGAAGCTATGTATTTGGCGTTCATTTCCTTCAATGGAGAAAAGCCAATAAATTCTTCGTGAACCTTTGGCAGCTCTTCAGATCTCTCTACAAATCTCACAGCAATAGACATTTGCTCGATTCCTGCAATGTCAGCTGTTTCATCGGCAAGCAAGGAAAAAGCAATAAAATTTTTGCTGTTTATTTTACGCACGATTTCTTCACGGATTAAGCATCCAGTTACATTAATCAACTCATTTTGAATTCTAACCGATGCGTACTTAGCTTTTCCAGGACACCTATCAAAATGTTCTTTTAGAACTGTATCCCCCGACTCAATTCTAAATTCCAAAAGATGATTAAAGTTTCCCTCATTTGACTCTTTACCACGAAGTGCTAAATCATGGGCTCCACAAAACAATATAGTGGACAATATTGGATATAATTTAGCACGGTTTTTAACGACTAAGTCATGTGCTGCTTGGTTTAGTTGCAAGTCTATGCTTTTCTTTTTATTTGTCATAACGTCAACAAAAAGTTTGGATTTCATTGTACTTTCTCGATGCCATTCAGAATTTTCATGTTTTCTAGCTGCTTCATGAAAATTTTTATATTTAACAAAAACTGTGTTAATGAAAGAACCTTGAACTCCTCTTTTTATTGTTGGTTTAAAAAGTACGCAATGAACGCACAGCGCACCCTTCATTTTTTTGGAGTAGGTCACCCACGGATACTGCCCAAACCATTCGAAACGAAAATGTCTAGTACCGCCTGCTATTGCATCTGTATTTTTGAAATCAAACGTTTCAAAAGGCTGCGAGGAATTGGTTACTAACTGAAGTTTTTTGGAGTCACTCAAAAGATGCATATTACTATTATTTGAAATAAAATCACTAATGTCTGCTTCAGAAACGTGAGAACCACCTTCTTGACCTGTGGTCGAGCCTGTGGCAGTATACTCAGCTGTGCTTGGAGTTTTCTGTATTTTTTCGGATGGTTCTGCGGTATCTGGGGATGATATTGATTCGGCGGGTCGTTTTAAAAATTTCCTAATAGGTATCCATAGTTTAGCCTAAAATACAATAATTTTTAATATAGTTAAAATTTTCCTAACGCCCCCTGATTATCATGACATGAACACAACGACAACGCCGCCTTTCTGGAAACGCTGTCGCGTAGCGTACACATCAGTAAGTGCGCGTTCACATTAACTGTATCCTCAACTGCGACAAGATTCTGCACGATTTTTTCAGTTTTTGTGTTTGAATTAAGAAATTACCAATTCTCTGTCGACTCTGTCCATGTCTTGGTTCATGTTTATCTTTTTTTTAAGGCTTCAAATTAAAAGACATAAAAAAAAAGTGGAATAGTGCGATGACGCTGGACATTTTCAAGCAAGTTAGACCACTAGCGGTGCGCAGCGTTGTGTCGCGCAACACCGCACGACGCACCGCTCCAGTGTGAACATGTTTATTTGAAATATAATGTTAAAATTATTTTTGGGCATCGCTACAGCGGCATCGCGCAACGCTCATCGCTCGAGCAGTGTCAATGTGAAAGCACACTAACGATCTGCTAATTATTAGTGCCAAGAAGTGCCAAACGCAAATGCTCAACCATTACTCAACAGCTCAACGGCTCAACGTTCAAGCTTCGTTTTGTTATGTATTCATCAAAACTTCTTCTATTTTACGACATTAACAAAAAACAGATTATATTATTCAATCACTTCTAACGAATTTCAAGGGGCTCTAAAATTCGTCAAATTTGTTTCTATTAAAAACGCATTTTATTAAAATGGCATCAGGGGGACTCGTTACGTTGGGGTTATTTTCCTTTTTGTCACAGGATTTGATTCAGGAAACTATACATAAGGTACATCGGTGCCCCAGGTACCAGTTTAAAACAAAAAGTAGATATTCATATTAACTCTACTCTACTCAGTCTACTCCGTTTACTTAGCAACTTTAGAAGATATATAGAATTAAAACGAATATTCTAAATTAAAACGTCAGAAATCCTGAGTCCTGACTAATTTACTAATTTTATGTTCTGTGATGAATGATTGCTGTGATTGATTGCAAAGTTTAATTTTTTGTCAGTCCACGGTCACTATGGCAACGGGAACAGGAGAAGAACTTTTCAAGTCCACTTTGCGACTCGTTGTCGTACGTTTGCCAAATTGCCATAGCAACGCAAAGATTAACATTTGACATATACCTAGTTGGGGGGTCGTTCGATAACATATCAAAATATTTGAGAAAATTGAGATTTTTTCTATTATTTATGTGCTATAAACTATAAAAAAATGCACGTAAAAAACGCCTGAAGAAAAAAATATCATGTTCTATTCCGAGTGTAAGCAGCTTTTAGTATCACTTTTGCTATTCTGTTTTTTTTATTCTTGTAATAATCGCCAGGCCTAGGGGGGAGGGCAAGTGCCCCATTTGGCCCCCCCCCCTATAGACGCCCCTGAATGTCGTATTCTTCAAATTATGATTGTTTTAGTAGTTAATTACTTGTTATCATAAGTCGTCAGCTGTTGTCATTTTTCTCTGATTATATTGTTGTATGCAATTTTTGGTAGGTACTTAAAAATTCTACCGGATAATTTTTGACATTTGTCGTTACTTTGCTTCATCTTTATTCTTCAAATCCAGGACAGCTAATTAATTACTTGTGGTAAATCTTTCTTTCACCCTTGGTGGTCCGAGAAAAAAGTCTTTCTGAGAAGTTAAATTTTGTCTTCGCCTCTGAGGGATTTTGACCTTAATATTCTCAATTATTGAGTTGTCTGCCGTTGCTTTACGTTTTCGTAAAGTACGATAATTTTGCCGATGATTTCGGATTTTTATAACCATCCATTCGGTAAGTTTTGCTTTGCACGTTTTTCCCCACAGTGGATTCTGACCTTCTCTATTTGATCATTAGTAAAAAGCTGCCCTAAGGAGTAGAATAAAGACCACCTTACTCACTTCAGGATTTCGAATCCAGACCTCGATCCAGACTAATTCAGAGTATCTTCGAGGCAAATAAAACCCATTCGAACAGGTAAGACATAACCTAATATCGACTGATTTTCTTTGCAAACTTGAACCATAAGAGTGCGCTTCTCGATGCTGAAAATCGCGAGTGCGCCTTTGCTATTTTAATAAAAACAGTTGCATCTAGAAAATTTTAACCGAAAACTTTTTTCAAGGATATGTTTATGTGCTTGTTTGACCAGTAATTTTTTTTTGATTTTTCTCATTTTATGATTTTTTTTTTTGCAAAAAATGAGAAAATTCAAAAAAAAATTACTAGTCAAGCCATCACAAAAGTACATTCTTAAAAACAGTCCTTGTTAAAATTCCCTAGATGCAACTGTTTCTATTAAAACAGCATAGTCGCAAACGCGAAATACCTATTTTTTCAGCATCGAGAAGCGCACTCATAATTTCTTTTTTTTTTCAAATCTATCTAATTCTGCTTTTTATACACAAATTATTCAAATATTTAAAGTCTATAGTTTCACCTAGTAAATTAACTATCAATGGTTGACAAAGTGCCTGGCCTTCGATAAGGTTAAGTTACAAATACAGAGTGCTATAACAGTTTTTCTTGAGGGTTTTTACTCACGGCCACAAATCTAATTATACGGCCAGTCCTTTTTAACCCAAGGCTACACGTTTAAAGTGTACGGCAACCTCCATCGGAGCCTATGCAGTTGTGAGGCTACCTCTACCAGAGCCTACACCTTTTTGGACAGTTATGCTTTTGTTTTGGTACTGTTGAACAATATAACTGGTTTGACCATAGCAGCAACCACCTGTAACCAGGACCAACCAGGTTGATTGAACCTGCTGCCATCACTTGGAATATATTGGTATCGGACTAACTTTAGTTTAAATAGTCTTTGTTGTCATTTTTTATTACTGGTTTCAATTTCACACATTTTGCCCCCTATTTTGTGCGTCAAAGTGATCAGTGGCGTAACTACCGAGGGGGCCGTGGCCCCCGGGCCCAGAGGCTTTTGGGCCCCATCCGAGGTCCCATGCAAAAGTAATATTACAGTCAAAAAACATATTCATACGATTCTTAAAATAATGTATTTCGAAACCTGATCAAGGAAATACGAAAATCATTGAAAATTTTAAATTGAAGAAGTAGTCCATATCTAAAGTGGAGTTGAAATTTAAATTTAAAAAAAAAACTCTAAGTCTTCCTGGATATCATAGATCATGTTAAAAAAAACTCATTTAAATTTTTCAGTATTGGCATGATCTGGCAGCCTATGATATCCATTCCTGTTAACATTATGAGCTAATTTATTGCCCCTGATGATGGGATTTACTAATCCCGAAACATGTAGGGCCGTTTAATTTAAAACGAATGAAGTATTTCTGGAGGAAGAAGTTTTTCTTTTGAATTGAAAATTTTGCTGACTCACTTATCTACTTACTACCCACATTTATTTGGAAAACGTATAGGTTTTCCGCAAAAAGTAAATCGCGATCGGTAATGTTAGCTGTTAGCGAGGAAGATGGTAGGCGGTTTCCGCAAAATAATTATTTCCTAGTTCTTATGAGTTAGGGCCGGTTTATTCACCTTCTGATAAACTGTCAGGTATGCAATCTGACGGATATAAACGTAATATGTAATTCCATTGGTCCACTAGTTATCAGCCGACCAGAATTCAACAACAGTCAATTTATCTTGCAGATAGTTACCAGCAAGTTTATCGGAGGATGAATAAACCGGGCCTTAGAGCCAAATTATGGACCGATTGGTAATGTCTTTGGCTGGTAAAACTAAAAATTGAATTCAATTTTTAGTTTTACCAACAGGATAAATTTGCCGATGACATTACCGCTCGGTCCATAATTTGGGTGTGGGGAAATTACTCAAAATCGTCGTGTTTTTTATGTGAGCGGCGAGCGAAGAGTTGGTACCAGGGTCTTTGTTCTTGAAACAGAGGAGCAGCGTTTCCAGGCGAACGAGTGTTCTGTCTTTCTCAATGATATACAAGTGATAATATATTAAGTAACAAAGACAGAACACTCGTTCTCCTGGGAACGCTGCTCCCCTGTTCCAAAAATAAGGACTTTGTTGTGTGTGTGTTCAAATTTTTACAAAACATGGATAAAAACGCCCTCAATAAAAAGAGTATCATATATTTCATTGATTTGTATAGATAGTTTTCTTGTTTATGGCGCATAAAGTCTTTAGAGTATATTATTATCTTAAAACCGAACCTGCCACCGCCACTGCTTATAATTTTCTTCTGTCTATCGTGCGTGAGCGACTGAAGATAAGTATGGGATTCACATAGTGTGTGGGCAAAACAGCTCTACGATTTAGCACGATGTTCCGAATCGCAGTGATTCGAACGAATGAAAAATAACGGAATGTGGGGGCCTTTAGACAAACAGGGCCTCGTCAAACCACTCTGCCCCCAGGTCCAAAATCTGAAGTTACGCCACTGAAAGTGATCATCGGGGTACGTAAGGATGTAATTCAGTAGGTAGTTGTACCAAGTGATAAGTAATACAACTATTAGGTACATTTATTTTAGCTAGGCGTAACCTGTTTCATGTGAATGACTAATGTCATCTATTTAGCTATGGTCACATCATTGTACTAAGGTTTGTGACTGGTAACTGTTACAATAATCATTTTATTTTATTTTTTATTTCTATATTCTGTCTTCAACTTTTGGTGAACTCATTTGACCACAACATTTTATATTTTGAATTTTCAAATTTAAATTTAATTTGTATTATTAATTGTGAACCACAATAATTGCTTTGAAAACATATTTTCTTAAATTTTCTTTTTATTGAACAAACATTATAGAACTTGAATTAAATGAGTTTTATTTGATTTTATGCACTCAGCCCAGTACTTATTAGTTTTATTATTACTTTTTATTTCATTAATTCCATCAAGTTGTAAGGACCTGGAGCCAGATGATATCCTGAAGAGTCCGTCTCGTCTGTCCTGAGTCGGTGGCACCCAAAACATAACCCACCCCTATTCTCCGAATTGTTTAATTCTGAGCGAGGACTTAATTTGCACGTACTTTGACCTTCAGTCCTGCAATCTTGATTATTTTTTTTATTTTTATTTTCACTTTAAATAGTTTAACATAGGAAAAGCGTGGCAATTCATGGAACTTTTCTCGTGAATAACTAGATAGAACCTGGCAGTATTTTATCTATTATACATATATAAAAATCAATTGTCGTGACATAAAGTTTGACAGCTCCGTTCTTCTAATGGCGGACCCACAGTTTGCGGACCCAAAGCCGGACTTATTGTTTGACAGCTGCGTTA